GTCTGGCATTTCGTCGATGTCAGATTGTGCGATATTTTGTTTGTGTTTCGCTCCGTCATCCTTTTGGTGGTGGGTCTGGCATTTCGTCGATGTCAGATTGTGCGATATTTTGTTTGTGTTTCACTCTGTCATCCTTTTGGTGGTGGGTCTGGCATTTCGTCGATGTCAGATTGTGCGATATTTTGTTTGTGTTTCGCTCCGTCATCCTTTTGGTGGTGGGTCTGGCATTTCGTCGATGTCAGATTGTGCGATATTTTGTTTGTGTTTCGCTCCGTCATCCTTTTGGTGGTGGGTCTGGCATTTCGTCGATGTCAGATTGTGCGATATTTTGTTTGTGTTTCGCTCCGTCATCCTTTTGGTGGTGGGTCTGGCATTTCGTCGATATCAGATTGTGCGATATTTTGTTTGTGTTTCGCTCCATCATCCTTTTGGTGGTGAGTCTGGCATTTCGTCGATGTCAGATTGTGCGATGTGTGTTTGTGTTTGCCTTATCATCCTATTGGTGGTAGTGGCTGGTGTGAGTTTTCGCTCCGTCATCCTTTTGGTGGTGGGTCTGGCATTTCGTCGATGTCAGATTGTGCGATGTGTGTTAGTGTTTGCCCTATCATCCTTTTGGTGATAGTGGCTGGTGTGAGTTTCACTCCGTCATCCTTTTGGTGGTGGGTCTGGCATTTCGTCGATGTTAGATTGTGCGGTTGTGTTTGTCCTATCATCCTTTTGGTGGTAGTGACTGGTGTGTGTTTCGCTCTGTCATCCTTTTGGCCGTGGGTCTGGCATTTCGTCGATGTCAGATTGTGCGATAGTGTTTGCCCTATCATCCTTTTGGTGATAGTGGCTGGTGTGAGTTTCACTCCGTCATCCTTTTGGTGGTGGGTCTGGCATTTCGTCGATGTCAGATTGTGCGGTTGTGTTTGTCCTATCATCCTTTTGGTGGTAGTGACTGGTGTGTGTTTCGCTCTGTCATCCTTTTGGTGGTGGGTCTGGCATTTCGTCGATGTCAGATTGTGCGATAGTGTTTGCCCTATCATCCTTTTTGGTGGTAGTGGCTGGTGTGTGTTTCGCTCCGTCATCCTTTTGGTGGGGGGTTTGTCACTTGGATTAATGTCAGATTGTGCGATGGTGTTTGCTCTACCATCCTTTTGGTGGTAGTAGCCATGTTTATTTCTTTCCGTCATCCTTTTAGGGATGACGACCTTTTGCCTATTATTTACAGTTTACTCAGAGGTTTACTTCATCCAACTTTTTCAATTCTCAGGCATCTCTTTTTCTTTCGGATAAATTCAGGGTCTTCTTTATATCTAATTGACTTCTACCTCAGGAAAATGAACACTATAGCAGTTCATTTCCCTAGGTTTAAGCCTATTAGATAGGGGCATCTGTCATACCCTAAATTTGTCCTACCTCTTTTTAAGTTTTGTTGTTTTTCGATTATTTTATGTTTTTAAATTGTCGGATTATTTTCTTGTTATTTAGACACGTGTCCGCTCACAATTGATTGATTTTTTAGAACTTCATCTTTTTGACCAATTAAAGTGCGACGCGTGGCCTAAAGACTTATTTTTATGTGAATATAATTTTTTATCTTTAATTTCTTAAACTATTTTTTTTGTTACTAATAATATTATTTATTTTTGTTTTTTCTTTAGATTGTTTTTTATATATATATTTCAAATATCCGTTTAATTATTAATGTAGGTATTATTTTCTTTTTATAGTCATGATATTTAGTATTAAGTAAGTTTTATTTTTATTTATTTTATATTATTTACTAATTAATCAAAAGATTATTTAAAAATATAAAAAAAAAAAGAGAGAGAAGCAAGCCCATTGGTTCTGCGGCCCGTTAAGTGGAATGAAGAAAAAAAAATGGATGGAGAGAGAGGATACAAATTTGGATATAAAGAGGGAAGGGTAATTCATTAAGAAAGAACCCTCATTACTGTTCATCCTCCTTCTTCAGACAAAACGCCGCCACCTTCATTTCTGAACCCTAAAAAACCCCAAGCGCCGCCACCTTCCTCATCAAAACGGCTGCATCTTCTTCTCCATTTCCTAGCCGCCCCCGAAACCTTCTCAGCTTTCCATTTCCTCTTTCAACCATAACCGTCCAAAACCCATTTCTCTTCCGACAGAACCCTCGATTTTCTTCCCTTTATCAAATCGTAACCACCATTTCATCCTCCACCATTAACGACACCCTTCATTCACCTTCACTGTTAGCACAACAACAACGATACACATCCCTGTATTTTGCAAGCAACAGTAACTCGTAGCTTCTCACACTTGATGTTTCTAAATGACGACTTCTTGTGCATCATTTGTACCATTAAGGGATATCAACGAACCCAAATCGTGGTAGTTTCCATTCAAAACATCAAACAACTCGCAGCGACAATAACATTGACATCACCAGATCATTATTTGCGAGCTACAACTGAGTTCAACCTTGCCCACCTCGCACGTTCTTGTATCTGCTCCCAGCTAGGATGCGACATCCTCGGCTCGCAATGACGTAACAGCCGCGTTCAGAAATGGCAGCAATAACACATCAGGATGCAATAAGCAATCTATAAACTGATGCGCGGTTGTGTCTGGTTTGCTATTCCATTACGTATTGTGGTTCGGTCTCGAACAAGTTTTTATGGCGTTATTATTGTTAGGGTAGTGTGTGTTCACATTGCTGCTTGCACTTTGATGGTAATCTAGAGTAATAAATTATGTGAAGGTGTTGGTTTTGTGAAAGGCAACCCTGCTGTCTGTTTTTGTTTCATATGCAGATTTTGAAGAAGAGGAAAGTTCGGAGTCGCTGATGTTCGGGTTTGGAAGGAAAGTATCACGGAATGATTTCAGATTCCTCCTTCGCGTTGCTAGCAGGGATGTGTTAAGGCGACAAAGCTTGATCTGTTGCTCTTAGGACAGTTTCTCCTCATGTCGGCAAATCGTTTACGCCACACGTGCCTCATTTTCATATTCGACAACTAGGGAAATCTCTCCACAAGCTGTTGCTAGAACGTAGGCTTGCTGCGAGTGTTCAATTCGGTAACAGCTTGCATTCGGTTCTGACTTAGCAGTGCACCGCAATGACAAGTCGATAACACCATGTTTGTACCTGTCTCAATATGGTAACGACCCAGTTTGTGTTCTTTTTTCTGGGTTTTCTGCGGAATAGGTTATTGAAGTTTGCATTCAGTTTCTGGGTAAAGATGCATAGACCTTTGTAAATGAAATATTGCTGCTGTATAGACTTTCTTAAATTTAATTCTATTTACATTCGTAAAATCATTGAATGCTAGCTTGTTTAAATTCTCTTATCAGTAGATGTTCTTGTTAAGAAAACCAGTTATGCAGTGAGAATGTTCAACCTTGTGATCTGAACCTGCGGCTACCACTTTTAAATTTGAATTAATTGTGCTATGATCTACTGATGTACATCAGTATGCTTTATGCTGAGGATTCATTGGAAAAAGGAGAACATGGTTTATGTATATAGACTGCTCTTTTTTATTTTCGGTTTTCATGTTGGTTCCCTGTACTGCTTCCTTTTTGTGTGATCATTTGCGTGCAGGTTGAGGGGGAATTAATGATATTGGTCTGATTCAAACACCAATAACAACATTTCCACAACTGTGGCGAGTCGGTAACAACGGTTTGCGACTGATACAAATTATGCAGGTTTCAGTTAAGCTTGGTTCAAGCTGTAACAAGTTTATGGAGGCAAAGAGGGTCTATATGTTCAACTCTTTCTTTTTTTCGCTTTCATTTTTTGTGATTATGCTGTCCTGTTTTGGTATGTTTTCACTTAAATGCAGGTGGAGAATGGATTAGTGGTTTTGATATCAACTCAATGACGGCGCAGCGTCCCTAGACTTCATTTACAACAACGGTGCCTAGCTCTGTAACACGAATTCAGCGATGTCATCTTTATCGAATCCAATCACAGCTACAGCAGGAGCTCGCATTTGTTTTTCAGCTTCAAATTCGTAAAGGGCGACGATGCTTTCATATACAGGTTCAACGACAAGGCATGTTCGGTGGTTCGTAACTTTATCTCCAGAGGGTGAATGGGTTATATAGGATATGGTGGAAGCTGATGCAAGGATAACTTTCACGAAGAGTTCTGTCTTTGTCTGTGATTTGGCTATTATGCAGGTGTGGAGGTTACGCATTCAAGATAAAATTTGGATTGAAACGCGTTCTCGGGAGCAACTCGGTAGCCTCGTTGTGAAGATATCTTGCAGAATATATGCTCTGAAGCGGAATCCTGTTAACTCAACGATTCGTATCGACGGCAGCAACACAGAGAGGAAGTAATTTTCGCGTGTCGGTATTTCTCGAATTCTTATCGCGTGTAGGATAAGCTTTGCCATGCTATTTATTGTTTATATTTCTTAATTCAATCACCGTAAAATGTTAACTGAATGGGATATTTGTTCAGACTCTTGTCGGCATTAACTTGGTCTATGTAGTTTGGTTCGATTAAGGTGTCGGTTATATTGCATTTCAATTCTGCTTGCACTTTGGTTGAGATTTAGAGTAATAAAATTTTGTAGATGTTGTTGGGATTTCAAAACGTTGTGGTTATACATTATAGCTTCAGGCATTTCGTTTTGTTACAGCTTATGTTTGGATTTTGTTTTTTCACTTTTAAGTTATAAGTTCTGTTATTGTGTGAGAATGCTACCACCAGAGATCAAAGGATTCTTATTATGTCAGCTTTCAATCCTGCTGCTATTTTGTTGTCTAAGGATGTTAATGGTCATCGTGTGGCTCTCTCTTGTCTGAGAAATTTCCCACAGGAAGATACTAAGATATTCCTGAGCATTATTGCAACTAACTCTCTGTCGATTGCAAGAGACAAGACTGGATGTTGTGTGATATAGTATTGCGCTAGCCATGCTCAAGGAGAAGTTAAGAATCGGCTGATTGATGACATCGTACTAAATGCTCCATTATTAGCAGAAGATTGTTATGGAAACTATGTGCTTCAACATCTATTGTCTATGAAAATACAGAGAATCTCAGGCAACCTACACAGGCAGCTTGAAGGACGATTTGTGTATCTTTCCTGCAATAAGTATGGGAGTAATGTAGTGGAAAAGTTTTTCCATGACGCAGGTGTGCATCTATCTGAAAAAATCATTGCTGAGCTCCTTAATTCCCCTAATATATCAAGGCTCCTTTTGGATCCATTTGGAAATTATGTCATCTGTACAACACTGGTGAAATTTAAGGGTAATCCCTACCTTAAGAATGCCCTGCTGGATCTGATCCAAGCAAATTCTCTAATGATGCGCAGCATTATGTTTGGCAAAAAGTTGCTTGATAGGGCCGGCAAAGAATTGCGGAATATGTAAACATGGGTCTGATGCCTACAGTGTGTAACCCTTTTTATCTTTCTCCTTTTCTGCATCTTCTTGTTACTCTTATCTCTGGTATACTTAGTAGAATTGAATTCTAATGCGCCTTAGGCAGTTATTCATAAACGAATGTGTGTTCCTGTTGTGCGTTATTCAAAAAAATATAGTTCGAATTTTAGATGTTTTAATTTATTTTCAACACAAATCATTTTTTTAATCAATAACAAAAAAGAACTTTTAAGGTTTAACATCTTTTGAGTTCTTGATTAATCACTATTGGGGCGTACGCCTTGGGTAGTGACATTCGACTTTTCGTTTTAAAATATACCTTTTAATTATTTAGACAAAGAAATGTCATTAAAGTCTAGTAGTCCACATGATACTTTCACTGTTTATTTTAAACAATATTTCATAAATTAAATCAATGGGTGAAAATTAAACTCTTGAAGTCTAGCACTTCTCGAGTTTTCGAATGAACATTATTAAGGTGTACACCTTAAATAATGTATTATTCAATTTTTTTGTTTTTTAAATTCTCTTCTTTGGACAAAGAAATATCATAAGAATCTAGCAATTCAGTGTGATATTTCCATTGTCCATCAGAATATTTTTCGAATGAGAAAAGATGTTGTCGAGATCTCGCATCACGATAATACTCCGTTAAATTGGTTGTGAGGCTGACATCTCATTTACTAAATAATCGTTATTTTCAAATCCAATCTTGTATTCTCACTTCTCATGCCGCAAACTCTTTCCATACCCTCAATTCAATTCAATTCTTCAAAAATATCTCTCTTGATTAAAACTTCGAAAGAAGGAGGTTCTTGGAATCTAGCATTCCTTGGATTTTCGAGTGAGTAATTCTCGAGGCACGCTCTTGAGTTATTATTCATTCAAACTTTCGACTTTTTCAAACATTTTCTCGATTCAAACTTCGAAAAAAGGAGGTTCTTGGAATCTAGCATTCCTTGAATCTTCGAGTGAATAATTCTCGAGGCACGCCCTTGAGTTATTATTCACTCAATCTTTCGACTTTTTTCAAATATTTTCTCGATCAAACTTCGAAAGGAAGAAGGTTCTTGGAATCTAGCATTCTTTGAATTTCCGAGTGAATAGCTTTTGAGGCACGCTCTTGAGTTGTTATTCACTCAACCTTTCGACTTTTTCAAACTTAATCATTTTCCAATGTTCTCCTATGTCAAATGCTCGTACGCATTCGCAACCATCGACAGTTCGCACACACTTCACAATTCCTCGTGGTTTCGATATTAGGGGCACCCTCAGGGACTAATATCGTTTCTCACAATCTTAACCCTTGACACGTCGTCAGGTCGGTTTCATTTTCAAACAAATCCTTGACACGTCGTCGAGCCGTTTCCAAACCAACTTCCTTTTGGCCCCGCATGCCATTTTTTCGATTCGATCCTTTCACAAACATTTTAAAACTTACGAAAGAGGGATATTCTCAGAATCTAGCATTCTTTGGATATTCGAATGAGTAACTCTCGAGGCGCGCCCTCGAGTTGTTATTAGTTCATTCTTTCGATTTCAAAACATCCAACTCTTTATCTTCAACTTATTCAGTCAATTCCCGAAAGAATTGAGTTCCTGGAATCTCGCATTCTTTGAATTCTTGAATGACAAGCTCTTGAGGCACGCTCTTGGGTTGCTTGTCAGTCACCCTTTCGTCTCGAACTCAAACTTCAACCCTTTTCAAACCTCGTCTTTTCGTGGTTGTTACCACGAACTACGATTGCTCTGATTCTTCATTCTCGTCCGAATGTAAGATACGTAGGCACAAGATTGCGATGATCTTGGCGAGCACACTTCCATTTTTCTCCCCTATTCCACACTTCTATCTTCCTCCATTATTCCGTCCACACATTCCCATCCTTTCCCGTAGTCGAACTACGACGCTCTGATTTCTCATTCTCGTCCGAATGAGCATACGTAGGCACAAGGGCCCCAATCCTTGGCGAGCACCCTATCCTCTAACCACCCATCTCTCCTTTACGTCTTTAACCCTTTTAACCTACCAATCCTACCTTTAATAACGAGAAGAAAACAAGTAAACCTAAACAACACTCCCCACAATTACCTAAAGAGGTTCCCGTCGAGTACGATGGACGTGAGGGGTGCTAACACCTTCCCCTTATGTAACCGACTCCCGAACCCGGAACATGGTTGCGACAACCCTGTTCCTATCCGTTTATTCGGTGGCGACTCTGTCGAACCGCATTTCCGCGCCTTTCGCGCGAGGGTCTCGTTCTCCGAAATGTCTCCGTGATTTTTCGAGGTGCGACAGGAGAGTATCTAACGGTTATTCCTTCAGGAAGTGGGTTTGAGGCAGAAAAGTAGGAGTTAGTGGCCACACTTTTGGTCTTTGAGGGGGGAATTTTGCACGTGACTTCATTCTGCACGTTCTGGCTGCATGACGGTTGTCATGGAGGTGTGACGGTCGTCACACGCATGACGAGCGTAACGGCTGTGTGACGGTTGTCACATCAGTAAAGCTCGTTTCTGCTGTTTTTCTCTTGGTTTTTCATCCATTTTTCACTTGTTTTTGCTCCTTTTCTTCATATTGCTTTGCTTGGACATGTTCTTCGAATACCTGCATAATACTTAGACAAATAGCATGGAATGCCCCGAATTCGGAGTGAAACCGGTCAAACATTAGTTAAAACACATGTCATTTTATAGATATATTTTCGCGTTATCAAACTCCCCTAAACTTGAATCTTTACTTATCCTCAAGTAAAAGTTAGAAAAATTGAAAATGTGGCAAACACGCGGCACGCTTCTCCTTTCCGAAAGGTTTTTTTCTCAAATTGTAAGTTAGGAAGGCCAAGACTAAAATTGAGACAAAACACATATGGTGGTGACACTGAGTTGTAAGTCTTCGAAGGCCTCCTTTTTATGCAAGCCAGTTCCAATCATGCTACTGCAGCTTGGCGTCAAGTTCCTTGCAACAAGTTTTACCCGGTTTGTTCTGGCGCAGTCGCATTAAGCCCGTTATCCATATACTTTCATGGCAGGTCAACCTGTTAGTGGCTATGATCTCTTTTCTATTTCGATTCTTCTTTGCACATAAGCTTATTCTATTGATTTTCAAAGACTTTCTGTACCGTTGGGCTAAATGCTCGGGTGAGGAGCACCTAACTTAGAAGGAACATGTCTCTATACTCAGGCTATATGGCTTTTCTTCTTCATGATTTTTCATTTTGAGTTAGAGATCACACACACTTATTTGCATCGGTTTCATTACTTAGAAGCATTTAGGATGGTGCCGACTGCTTGTGTAAACTACTGGGGGCTACGTTTGAGTAGGAGCTTGAAACTTCGGTACGTGTAGGTAGTGAAACGGACTCGCATAAACTGGAGGTATAAGGTGTCAGGACGTTAATGGAGTTGTTAAAATTTTCTTCTCGGGATTTCCATACTTGATTGAACTTTGGCGTGTCCTCGTGATGCTTAAAGATTTCTTTGTATAGTCATATGAAACGCGGGGAGTTCACGTAACAGAGATAAATATATATATATATATAAGTGCTTATTTGCCGAAACCGAAAATTAAAATTTCTTTAAATTCGAAAGAAGAAGTACATGATTTGAAGGGAAATGAAAAGGGAAATAACATGAAAAGGGAAATAATGATTCGCTCCCACACTATCTCAATCAGTGTCCCCACTGATTTGAAGGAATGCGGAAGGGAGATACAAAGGAAATAAAGAAAAAACAACAAAAATGGCAAAAATGAAAAATACTACTAATCCCGTCCTCGTCCTCGATCTCTGCCTCGACCTCTGGCTGGGGGGTCACGGGCGGCGAGGTTCAGAGCTCCGGTGTGGAATATGTAATCCCGGAGGCCGTCGACTCGCACAGTAAGGTGCGCCATCTCGTCAGCCATGCCGGAATGGATATCGTGCATCATCTGCAAAGATTGCTGGATTTGGCCGGTTTGCTCTCTCTGCCATGCTTCAAATTCCTCAGCCATGCGGTTCTGCTGCTCCATCATAAGCATCATCTGGTTCTGTTGCTCAATGCAGCGGAGGAGGGCCGCGGATGTGTCATCAGTGGCAGGACGGGGGCGGCAGCGCGTGGAAGGGCCAGCGGCAGCAGCTGCTTGTGATGGCTTAGGCTGGTCGGCTCTGTCGAGCTCCTCCTGAACTTCGTCCCTGGGCTCTGGGATATTATCCTGTGTTGGGGCAGCAGGGGCAGCGGTGTCGAAGAGCCAGTTGGCTCTGTCCTCTGGGTGCATCTGGGTGCGTGAAGGCATGATGATGCTCTGGATAGTGCGGCCTCGCACTACAGGATGATATCGCCCATCACGGAGGGCCTTGATAAGGTGGGAGGCTCGGCAGTGGTCGGTGTCCAGGAATACGGGGGGCATCTGGCGGAGTGCCTGGAGGCGGTCGCCAAGACCGAGGCCTATGGCGATGGATGTGATGATGCCACCGAAGTAGAAAGGTTTAGAGCCGCGGTTGCAGTTGGCCTGAATGTGAGCCAAGAGGAACGGGGCGACGTTAACCGGCTCTGAAGCGAACACACAGCGGAGGAAAAACAACTCCTTCGAGTTGACCTTATGGTTACTGTCACGAGCGAATATGGTGTTGCTCAACACGCGGTGGAAGTAGCGGATAGCTGGGTTGTGGATATGAGTGGCGTTCAGCGTGTCCCAGCTGTCTGGAGTGGTTCCGGTCAGGCTGTTCCAGAGAGGGAAGGCCTCTTGGTAGAACTGATCGGAGATGCGGCGGTGAGCATCGTCGCTGTGAGTTAACTGTAGGATGACGGCGATGCGGTCCTGGGGGACCAGATATTCAGTGCCGAACATCCGAAAGCAGGCGGCGCCGTGAAGTTGGTTGGCATCGCCGGATGATGTTGTGTAGGCGAAAGAGCTGAGAAACTCCAGAGTGAGTTACTCGTAGGTGGGTTGGGGGTGGTGCAGAGATGCCAGATGCCGGCTCTCTGCAACATCCAAGTGACGCCGTCGAGAATCC